GCTGCCCCTTGGACTCCTGGTCTCTACATGCTGTGAGTCTATGACTTGTTCTCCACTCAAGTACTCTTTCACTTTCAATGAATCATTTTGCTTTAAAAATAAATAAATACAATAATGGTTTTATGCCATATTTGTCTTTATGAGACTGAGTTTGTTCACTGCATACCAATAAAACCACAGAGATAAAAACAAATAACAACAAAATTGCTTTAAATGTGTATGGACTTATGTTCCAAATACAAAGTGAGCAACTTTCAGTCAAGCATCCAGTTGTTGGTTTGTTGTACCATGTTGGTTTGTGTGTTGCTGTACTCTGGATGCCACTCCATCAATAATTCAAATACCTACAGGGTCACGCATGGTGGGTAGGTTTCAGTGAGCCTCCAGACCCAGACAGACTAGGAAGAAAGGCCTGGCAACCAGCTTCTGAAAATTAGCAAATAAAAACCTTATGGGCTTACTTAACATTAAAGGATAGTGATGACGCCTCAAAATAGCTCTCACTGTGAAAAACCCTGGAGGACATTTAGGCTGAGAGAAATAAGTCAATCACCAAAGAACAAATATTACAAAAAAATCAAGAAGAGTTTACACAAAGGAAGAAAAATTATCTGATGCTTACTGGGAATGAGAATGGATAAGAAGGGAAGTCACTAGCTGAATAGCAGATAAAGACACATTTTGGTGAAGTGAAAGACAATACTCAAAACAGGGGAAGTCTGTAAAACATATTCATGGCAAAAGAAGACAGGCACTCAAGAGGTACACAAGAGTGGAGGGCAGCAATGGTAAATGTTGTTATATACAGCAAGAGTAATAATAAGCAAGAATGTACCAGTGAATATAAAGGTAGTTACATAAGCTGAATAGGGGGTAGGGAAGGCATATGGGAGATGTTGTTGTTATGTGCCGTCGAGTTACTTGTGACTCATAGCGACCCTATGTACAACAGCCCTAAACTCTGCTCTGTCCTGTGCCAATCGCATCGTCTCTGATACACCCATCCCGATTACCCCAGTCACTGAATCAATCCACCTCATAGAGGGCCTTCCCCTCCTGCGCTGTCCCTCCACCCTCCCAAGCATGATGTCCCTCTCCAAGAACCGGTCTCTCCTCACAACATGTCCAAAGTATGTTAGACGGAGCCTCAGAATCCTTGCCTCCAAGGAGCAACCCAGTTTAACCCTTTCGAGGATGAATCTGTTTGTTTTCCTAGCAGTCCATGGTACCCTCAATACTCTTCTCCAGCACCACAGCTCAAAGGCATCAATTCTCCTTCTATGCTCCTTGGTCCTGATGCATAACAAGTGATTGCAAAGACTATGGCCTGTATCAGACGCACCTTAGTGTCCAGAGAGGCATCATTGCTCTTCAGTACTTTGGAGAGGTCCCTAACAGCAGACTTTCCCATGGCAATACGTCTTTTAATTTCCTGGCTACTGGTGCCAAGAGTGTTGACTGTGGAGCCAAGCAAACTAAAGCTGTGAACAATCTCAATCTCTTCACCATCCATTCTGATGCTGCCAGTTGGCCCAGTGGTGAGAATCTTTGTCTTCTTGACACTGAGCTTCAATCCATATTGTAGGCTGCAGTCCTTGACCCTCTGCAGCAAGCACTTCAGGTCCTCCTCAGTTTCAGCGAGCAAGGTTGTGTCAGGAATAGTCATGTGTTATCTATAAGCTTAGAAGTGGATGTTCTTGAATATATCTTTGTACACACTGCAAACATATCTCAATAATAAAGCATAGTCATGAAGTTTCTCAGCCATACCAAATACCTCCCTGGACTCAAATACTGGGTTTGAAGGGCATGGGCCATAGTCTTGGGGGACAACTTAGTTCAATTGGCCTAACACCTAGCATAAAGACAATATTTTACAACCTGCTTTGGTAAGTGGTGACCAGAGTCTTAAATGAAGCTTGCAAGCAGTCATCTGAGGTATAACCTTCTTCCTCTTTCTGTCTGGAGCAAAGAAAAGTGACAAAAACCAAAGACTAGAGGAAATCATTAAAACTAATGAAACATGTGAGTGACCGCATCCACTAGCCTGACCAAAAGAATTAGATGGTGCCTGGCTACCACTCATGACCACAGTCACGAGAGAAGGTGTCAGATAATGATAACAAATAGGAGGAGCTAGAAGAAAATTCAAATTTATAAAAGGACCAGATTTACTGGAGTCTGATAGAGGTTGATTGGGATTCTCAAGACTAAGTCTCAAACTCATTGCCATTGAGTGAGAACTAACTCATAGCTGACCCTCCAGCTGGGTTTCAGAGACTGTAAGTCACAGAGAAGGAGCCTGCTCATTTTTGAACCACCAGTATTTGGATTGATAGCACAGCTCCTTATCCGTTAGGTCACCAGAGCTCTCTAAGAATATAAGGAAGGTCAGCAAAATAGAGGAATATCCAGGATTAGACAGAGTGACTGCACCTAGGTAGAGATTGTGAGAATGGCACACGACTGGGCAAGGTCTCAGGGAGTCACTATGATCTGGAGATGGCTTGATGACACCCAACAACAATCTCCATTAAGTGGCATCCCTCCCCTTTCTGTCATGACTTGCAGTGCCCCTCACATTCTAGCTTTGGTCCCAGACAGTTGCCTTTGCATTTATCCCATTTAAACGTGCCTGTGGCTTTTAGTCAATGACCTTCGTGCCTTTATCCTACTTGGTCTTATTGTATGTAGAAAAATAACTGCCATTGCCAAAAGGCAAGTCTGACGCATGACAACGGAGTAGAATTGTCCTCTATCAGTTCTCTGGGGCTGGTTGTGCATCCAGGTCTTTTTTCCAAGTTGTCTCCATGCAGACTCAAACCTTCAACCACTGGGTTAGTAACTGAACCTCTTAATGATCTCTAACTGCAAGGAACCCCCGCGCCAGGTCAGAAACAGCATTGTTTGAGTTCAAGGACAATCATTCTAGTATACTGATACTTTTTAGAATAAGTAACCCAGTCCCTGGCCTCCTACCCTCTAACTAGGTTCTGCTAACTCATGAAACTGGGGACAAGGTGGCAAGTTTTGAGACTGAAGGGTGGAAATGAGAACCAAAAAGAGATGTGGTGGAAGTGTGTGTGGGAGTAAATACTCTGATGCCAACACAGAACAAGGGTCTTGTTTCCAGAATGGGAAGTCAAAGACATCAGAGACAGCCTGACACCTGGTGTTTATTCTCTTTCCTCCCAGAACTACCCTTCTTGGGTCAAAGTTTCCCTAAAGACCTAGTGTTGAGGTTCCCCCTGGTGTCTAAAAAAATTAAAACATGAATAACAATTCTTGCGAAATGGCTGAAGGTCTATATGGTGGACCTTAATCAGCCCTATCTGGAAACAATACAGGGATAGAAAGAATTCACCAAAACAGCTGGTCATATAAAACATTTCTCCTTTTCTCCCATCCCATAATACTCAATACAGTGTCACCTAGGGGAACTCTGGATATAGGGAGGTGTGCTGCTTACACAAAGGTTGGATGAACCAGAGGCTCCATGGGTAAAGGATGGGCAAACTCCTTTATAAATTGCTTCCAAGCAATTTACAGCCTCTGGAAACCTCCTGAAGCATCAGCTATGAATGAATACTGATTCAAGGGCAGTGAGTGGGAAAGTTGGGGTCTGATTCCAACATGTGAATTCATCTCCAAGTGGGTTAAAAATGCTTTTCACTTTTTGTTAACTCTGGCACTTATTCAGGCCCTGGATGCCGAGGAAGAACGGGCCCTTCCCTCAGCAGGGTCCGATCCAAGCCATGGTATTTTCTGTTTCTTCCTCTACATCCGTAAGTTGGACAATGAATAAGGATGTCAGGAGAGTGAGTGCCTTTGAATCGTGGTGTTGGAGAAGAGTACTGGGTACCTCAGGGACTGCCAAAAGAACAAGTCTGTCCTGGAGGAAGGGCAACCGGAGTGCTCTTTATAGGCAAGGGTGGAGAAACTTCATCTCACCTACTTTAGGAATATTGTCAGGAGGAACCAATCCTTGGGAAAAGACATCCTGCTGGGAAAGGTGGAGGGTCAGAGAAAGAGAAGATCCTCAGCAAGACGGACTGACAGAGTGATTGTAACAGAGGGTTTGAGCGTATCAGAAACTGTGAGGAGGGTGGAGGGCAGGACAGGCTTCCGATGTGTTGTTCAGAGTCACTGTTCCTGGGTGTCCCCGCTGCTTCATTGCCACTAAGGCTGCTCGTTCAGGCTGTGTGAACATGAAGAACTGAGAGTTCCACAATGTGCAAGCGAGGAAATGAGTTACCAGCCTGCGGTCTGTGTTTGACCTTCCTCTACAAGTACTGAGGCACTTGCACTAATGGTGACAAGTACCACTCTTGTTAGGATTCTGCTTCCTGACATCCTGCCTAGGATAAAATAGTTACTCAATTAGTACTTGGAACTTTAAGTTCACTCATTTGAAAGTAGTATGTATAGCACATATTTTTGGTCCCAAAATAAAAAAAAAAGTTAAAAAAAGACTGCTAAGAGAAAAACAGGTTTGTACTGGAGTGGGTTAAACCAGGTAGTTCCTAGGAGGCAAGGATTCTGAAGCTTTGTCTTACATACTTTGGGCATGTTGTAAAGAGGGACCAGTCCTTGGAGAGGGACATTATGCTTGGAAGGGTGGAGGGACAGTGCAAGAGAGGAAGATCCTGGATGAGATGGATCGACTCAGTGACTAGCGTAATGAGGGTAGGTGTGTTAAGGCTGGCTCAGGATAGAGCTGAGTTCAGAACTGTTGTACATAAGGTCTCTAGGAGTCATTGATTGCACAACCTATATCCAATCTAACTTAGACACCAACCTCCCCCAGAAAAAGGTTTTCAGAAAAACACTTCATAGCAATATTCATTAGATAAAAAAAGTGCCCCCATTTCTGGAAGAGATCTCATCGATGGGAAAGGCTCGGCACATAACACATGACAGAGCTGGGCAGCCCAGCAGTGGCCAAGACACTGAACACAGCCAATTCCGGGGGCACGTTTTCACGCACAGATACATGTGTTTCACAAAGGGGCAAAGACAGTGTAGACGGTTTTCACGTAGACATCATCAGGTGGAGGCTTCTTCTTGCTACCGGGCGCAAGGAATTTCTTAATAGTAGGGATATTACTTATTTTCACAGAGTACTCCTGGGGGAAAAAGGAAAGAAACAAATTCAAGATATCAAATTTTTTTTAAAAAAAAAAACCACCCCAAACCACCTCAAACTCATTGTTATCCAATCAGAACCAACCCACAGCTGACTCTCAGCAAGTTTTCAAGGCTATAAACTGCAGGGCGGGGGAGACTGCACACCATTTCCCTCAGAGCAGCTGCTGGCCTGGACCCTCCAGAGGGGTGCCACCATTGGGTCAGCAGCTCCATGCCCTACGGACCGTGCAATCAAAGCTCCCCATCAAATAAAGGTCTTGCTTCATGCCTACAAAAACAAAGTCATGAAAAACAACCCATCCAAATCTATTCTTTACAAATGTGTTGAAGGCAGAAATAGTAAACATGGGCAAGGTTGTGGCAGACCTGAACTCTGACGATTGCTAATGAGAGTACAGAATCGTGAAGCTATTGTGGGAAAACAGTTGGGCAGTTCCTTGAAAAAAGCTCCCAGAAGAGCTGTGGGTGAGCATTAGCATTACTGGTAAGTATATTCATTTTCTCCTGGACACAAGAGCCTACTATCTGGTTCTAAAAGCCTTCTGAGGTCCTAACTCTTCTCACTATTTCTTAATTGTTGGAATGGATGGGAAACCTCATAAGCAGTTCCTTACTTCACCTCTGCCTTGCATGCGGACTTCTGAGTTGTAAACCAACCCAGTGGTAGATGGAATTTGCTCCAGGACTTAAGAACAATAAATGATATAGTTGAACCTCTACATCTTGTGATTCCTAACCTTTATAATATAATAGACAAAGTGCTAGTCAATAGGCCTTTTATTGTAAGAACTACCTTCCTTCAGCAACTTGATTGGTGCCACTATTAGAGCCTCTACCTGGAATACTATTGCTTTTCAATTTTTGACTCATGTACTTTTAACTTGTTAGTTAAATTTGTATCTTCTAGGCTGCAACACTTCCATGTTACATCTTCAAGGATATGAACATGCACGGCTAAGCACAATTGA